ATAAATTTCCATTTGAAATTTATAATTCAACCCTCGTTTCAACTCCTATGGGATATGAATATGAATCAACGCTGACATCTATGTAAAGACCCTCAGGAACTATAAAATTTGAGGTTAGAAAGATTAAAGTCAGTCGCGTAGTTTTCAGGTTATTGAACTGTTTCCAGTTTTCTCTAGAATACAACTGAAATAGAATTGATTTCTTGTGTTGAAAAATTTACATTATTCCTGTAAATTTATTACTATCAATTTAATATATTAAATAAAACTAATATAAATATATTTTCATATAAAAATTATATGAAGAAATTTTCTATAGATTTTTATTTAGTTACATTCAATCATTATCGCTATCAAGTTTCATTATAAATCTTTTTTAAATCTCTTTAAAATAAAAACAAAAATATAACGTGAGAATTGATATTGATATGATGATTAAAAATATTTTAATCAATTCTTTTTTTAAATTATTACCTTTCATTAATCAAAGGATGAATTTATTAGAACTTGGTAATTATTCCTTATTCATTAGTTATATATATTTAAGATATATTCTTAAATATCAGATGAATCAGATAATACTAAATAAAATCTTTTATTTTTTTTGAAATTATGAATTAAAAAAAATTTAATGTATATGTCATTATATTAAATATATATGTATCAATATATACACCAATTTCTTCTTTGATTTATTATAATTTTAATTTTTATTAGATTAGATTACTAAACTTAAATTACATATAATAAACTATTGAAAAGTAATTATTGTTATTAACTTTTAATATTTAAGAAAGATATTAACTTTGAATATTCACATTAAATGAATAGTTTAAGAAAATTTTATTTTCATCTATTCATTTCGACTACAATTTATCACATTGTCGCAATACCATCATCAGATTTAAGGAAGCTACAGATTTCTTCACTGCAAACGCTTCTACCTGAGTGACATGTCGAGACTCGTGACTGGAATGTTCTTGCAATACCTGCCTAGGATATCGAAGAACGTGCATTTCATGCGGTCGCTGCTTTTGTAATTTTGAACTGGAAACCGCGTGCCTCGAATAACGTGTTCCCTTAAGAAAATTTTCATGTACTAACGATTTTGTATAGAATAGTTTCGTATTATTATTTTGTAACAACTATGTTACGAATTATGTTATTTCTTTATTCGATTGAAATATTATCATTTAATAAAATTATTTTTTACATTCTTATTTTTTATTCAATAATTTTATTATTTATTATATTATTTATTTTGTTTAATTTTAAATATTATACAGAATATTTCATACAATTGGATTCATATCTTATCTCTTAAGAAACAAAAGATAGAAAAAATTTTCTTTTGACAAATTTACATATGCATGATTTAGTATCTTAATTTTTAAATTCACCTTTTTTTTTTAAATTTAAAAAGAATTTCTAAAATGTTAATTTTTCAGTTTCAAAGAAAGAATTATAATATTTAGCTTAGATTAATTAATTTAGAATCTATTTTAATTTTATTTTTAATATTATTTGAATTTATATATACATGAGATATTGCTAAATTTATGTGAAACATTTTATATATATAATAGACAAATTTCTTTAAAAAATAAAAATTAATTAAAAAATTATATTAAAAATAAACGTGTATTAAAAAATTAATCAAAAAATTAAACTTTGATTTAATTTAGTATCTCATATTAATAAATTTTTATATAAAAATTCTCTTTATTAGAAACTATCACTTTCTGCAAAGATCAATACTCATGAAGGAACTTAAAGGATTCCTTATTGAAAAGCACTTTTATCCCAGAATCATGACTAGAATTTTTGCGGTATCAGCTTCCAATATTGAAGAACACACATTTAAAATTAAGTATACACTTTTTCGAAATATAATACTTCTTCTTCTTTCATAGATTATATTTTATATTTATAATACAATTTGTTTTTTCAATTTTTTTTTAAATTTCTTTCTTTTCAACGATTATATTAACATATAAAATATTCAAAGCTTATAGTTCCTAAAATTTAACGATACATTGTTATATTTTTTCAATTATAAGAGTTGATAATAATATGATCCTTATTATTTTTACATTTTTACATTTTTCTAAAAAGAATATACATTAACAACTATAATTTTTTATAATATTTTTACATTTTATATAATAAATCTATATTCTACGATGTATCATTATGTATAATCAAATATATTAAATAAAAATTATGTGATAAAATTAATCAAACTATAAAATTATAATGAATTTTATAATTGAAATTGTAAAATATTTTTCTTATAAGCTCTTATAAGACTCATGACACAGTGTTTGTTGGATTACAAGATCTAAAGCACGTTGAACATATTCCATTTAATACATATATGTATATGCAGTAAATTCTAAAAGTTAAGCAGATTTTCCAGTACTTGGTAAAATAAGTCCTCCCGGACTTATACACGGAAATTTCTCGTTTGGTTTTCATCCGTTGCGGTTCAAGTTCGTAGAATTAACTGCGCGTTAGTGGTGCATGTCTATGACGGATTTATAACGGCATAACCCTGTTGATGGATTTAAACCGCATGATGAAACAGCAGTAGACCGCTAATCTTTTTTTTTTTTAACCGTGGACAGAGGTATAGAAGCAAGATCATAAATTGTAAGACGATTAACAAAAAGGTTTTGACAAAATAAAAATTCACGTACAGCAATATTAAAGTATATTAATTGATGATGATTTTTATATCATCATCAATTATAGTGATGTGATGTTAATTTAAGATAGCTAAATTAATAATCTAACTAATCCACCTAATATATATATACTTGTAACTAAAATATATCTAAATTATGTAATAATTAGGTGTATCTATATGCAAATAAGATGTAAATTAATATTTTCAGTAATTGAAAGATTTATAATAAATTAAAAGTTGTATTATGGTTTATAAATTAATTAAATTTATTGTTTATATAAAAAGATTGATATTAAAATAATTTATATAAAATAATTTTATATAAAATAATTGAAATAATTAAATTCAGAAACTCAATATCTCTATATCTCACAATATATAATATATATTTACTTATATAAAAATTGAAATATTATACAATATATTTTTATGATTTTATAAATTAATATTGAAATATATTTTTAAACGTAATTAGTATTTGAGTAAAATTTTTGATTTCTTATTATTTGAAGTTTATATCATTAAGTAATATATTAGAATATGTTATATTAAACAATATTAGACAACAATATATTATATAATGTAAATATGAACAAATTAATATTGAATATCAAATAATATTAAATATCAATATAAATATGAATATTATATTTTCATATAAAATAAAAATAAATATTTAATAAAATAAAAAATAGTTAAATCCACGATCGTAAAGATATTCAAAAATTTGTTGATTAATATGTGAAGAGAATAATATTGTTCTTTGTTATTGTTATATAATTTCTTATCTGAACTAAAATTTTGTCAATAATAACATTAGAGTATATTAATTAAACATTTAATATTACTTTTTTTTTCTTTTTATATTCAATATTATATTTAGAATTAATTAGAAATTAGTGTAATAGATATTAATAATAGATATTAATATTTTCATTTATTTTTAACGAAAATATTTTCTGAATTAATGGAATTCTAATTTTCTATTTTTTTGGGTTTTAAGAAACACAAATATTATTTAATATATGAAAACAAAAATTAGATTAAAAAGGACGATTTAAACTCATAATTTTTTCTCAATTTATATATGTATTCTATTCGAATAGAAAAATATATTAAGTAATAATTGTTTAAATAATATTTGCTAATAATTGTAATTAACAATAATTGAAATAACCGTATAATTAGATTGACTATAAAAGCAAAATCGCAATTGTAAAATAGAAAATAAAAATTCGTCAGACATGAATATAAAGAAAAACATGAGTGTGAAGATTATTATTCTCTGGATGAAATTTAATTAAACCGCGTTACATTTATGTTAAACGGATTAAAACCGTTTGTTTGTGTTCACAGGCCTGAATTTCGCAAATACAGCAGTAGACCGAGCAATATACCATTCTCTAAGATTGAATAATTCTAAAGTTGAGAATTTACATCATTTACATTTTCTGTTTATCAATGCCATGTTGACTTTTACCTTAATGCATCAAATAGAAGAAAGAATGAAAGTCTCGAACTGACAGAAAGTGAATATATTGTTTTAGATCAAATATTTTAGTTGAGATAAAACAATTATAGTTATTTGTTTACGTATATCTATAATTTTCATCATTAATAATTATACTATATATTTAGAATATTATATTGCATAATTTCTTTTCTATTCTACTTTTTAAATCATTTTTATTTAATGTATCTATAATTTCAGGAAAGAAATATATTTTCTAGAGAGATGGAATAAAAAGAATTTGCTCTTTGCAAATGCTCGGAACGTTTTACCTGAAATTATTGCTGTTAAAATACTGTAATCTCTGTTTTAATTATTCGACTAATGATGCTGAAAAATGAAACGATATTTATTTTCTCATTTCTTTGATCACGATTTTCAATTATATGTTCTTCAAATAATTTAATAAAAACTATATTATTTTCATTACTGTTATTAAAATTTATCAGAATATCATAATTAATGATATAAAAATATTTAAGAATAAAAGAAACAGATGGGTAATTTTGAATCTATTAAAGAAAACAGATGAATCTAATAATACAATTAACCAAAATTGATTATTTAGATTATTTTTCGTGAGACATTCTATTTTTAAATGAAATATATATTCCTAAGGTAATCATTAATTACTTTTGAAATTAAAAATTGACATTGAATGTGATAACTATTCACCATTATTTATTACCATTAATATAATCTTGCCATTCTTATTCAAATAAAGAATAAAATGATATAACATTTTATTATTTTATGGCAGAATATTCAATAATTTCATATTTTCATATTTGTTAATGATAGGTAGATACACCAGACAGCGTACTGCAAAGTGGATTAGGCATGGGACCAGATATGGGACATACTATTTTACGTTCTATGGTTGATCCAAGAGATTATGATCGATTAAGATACTTGCAAATGAATGGAGGTCAGCCAAACAGCTTCGAAGAGACCATACATAGGGTATGATTTTCACATATAATAAATATTAAATGATAACTTACAAATATAATAATATTTAAATTGTTCAATTTCATAAATATTTCATTATCATCAAGCTATTATATTATATTATATTATAAATTATAATTATAATATTATTATATTATAAATTATTATATTATAAATTATCGTTTTCATTATTCATATAATTTATAATGATCATATAATTTATAGTGATATATCATTTTTTGTTTCTAAAAAATAAACAAATGTGACATAATTATCGATGAAAGTCTTTTGAAAGTAAATTAAAAAAATGATCATTTCATTTTAAAATACTAAGGAAAAATCATTATACAATAATTAATACTGTAATGTAATGCAAAAAAATAAATAAAAAAATTCATTTGACAAAATTAAATTTTTTTGCTATTAAAAAATAAACATATAATTTTCATTTTCTCAATTTAATATCATTCAATTATAGTTTTATTATAAACATTTTATAATTTTCTTTGTCGAAGGAATAGAAGGAAAGGAATTGATAAAAACCAATTTATTAATCAATTTGTTTGTTGTATTATCGTAATTGAAATTGATTTATTTATATTTATCGACAAAATTTTTCAATTTTTAATCAATGTAGAGAGAGATTTTTTACCAGTTTATATTTTTCAGCTGAAAGTTCAAGAGGCACTGAGAAAGAAGGAACGATTTCATAAAGAACACGAAGAGGTGAGTGCAATTTAAATTAAAGTTCACTCTTCCCTTTTTTTAATTTACTAATGAATTCTTGTCTATACGAATGCCAAATAAGGAAAGTGGGTATATTTATGAAAGAAGAGCGAATAGAAGCAATAAGCATGATCAATTTAATAGCATATTTCATTTCGCAATTTCTATTTTCATTTTTATCAATCATAGAAATACATTTATCAAGATTTATATTATATCTAAAAGAAATATATGTTCAAAAAGGATACATATTTTTTCTATTAATTAATAAACTTGTAATTATTATACAATAAAAATTGATTCTGATATTATAAATATATATATATAATTTTATTATAATTTTAATGGAAAAATTTCAAAAGCAGAAATATAGAAATAATCGAAGAATGATTTAAAAATAAAAAAATTTTGTTAAATAATCAATAATTGCAAAATTTTTCTCCATATTTTCTGATGAAAAAGGAATTCTTGAGATATTTTATCATTAAGTTAAATACAGTAGAATTCCATTTACGAATCTTATTTAATGCTCTATTTATTAACTTCTGTTGAACTCTTGGCTATACTGAGCGTCACTCCAATTATATGAACATTTATAATTCTGCTAACATTAATTACCCGAAGAATGAGTAAATATATGTTCGACTTTAACTATCCAATTATGAATTATGACTATTTGAATAATTTTTTAAATACATTTGGATAAGTATTATTTTTTTTTCTAAAATAAAATATAGGTTTCTTTGTATATATTTAATATATAAAGAATATTACAAGAATGTTACATTTTGATATATTGTATTAACTTTATGATTAATCATGTGAATTGGAAAAATTAATGAATCTTTATTAACGAAGTTACTTTATTTTCATTTTTATTTTAATTTCCTTAAATATATTTTTTCATTTTCGAGATGTGATTATTTTTAATTAATTCTCGTAATAAGAACGATCTATTTATATTTTGAATAATAAAGACAGTTTTCCAAAAGATTAGAGATTTCTTAATAACTTTTTAAAAGCATTAATCTCGTCTTCCCTCTAAGTACCTACGACGTGTGTGGAAATAAGTTGAAACTCATAAAGGAGCTCGTAGAGAGAACTTGGAATGGTGTCGTTGAAGTTTGTGGAGAAGACTGGTCAAGATTTGAAATGGGCAACGCGAAGAATCAACTGGATTATCTAAGATTGTTTAACAGAAGTTTCTAAGCTTCTTTGTAATAGTAATAAAATTTGTTGTCCAATTTACAAATGAAAATTTGACGTACATTGAAAATTCATTGCTACATTAAACTATTTTTGTAATCTGTAATTTGTTTATATTGTTTATATTTTTGTAATTTGTTTATATTTGTAAATTGGATTCTATCTTCTGAAAAGAATACAATTTTGATAATTCATTAATAAATGAAAATTTAAATAGAATGAAAAATTATTATTATATTGCTACTTTGTATACAGGATAACTACATAAAATAAAACGTTATTAATTATTAAATTATTAGAAATCATAGAAGTATATATTAAAAAAATAAAAGATGATCTTATTTAAGAAATAAATATATAGGATGTTAATATATGGGACATATTTTTTAAGGAGACTAATTCTAAATTATAAAATTCTATATAATACTAATTCTATTAAAATAAATACAAAAGTTGATATAAAAAAATATATATCGAGACTTATTTATTAAATTATTTAAAATTTAATTTCGCTTTAGATGAAGCGAGACGAGAATACGAGATAGAATATGAGACGGTGTAACAGAAATAAAACTAACTCTTCTTCCATTTCCTTTCATCTAAACTTCAATTGTTTATAATTTAATAAACAAATCTTAGCCAATATTTTTATATAGAAAACTTTCATGTTTGTTTTAATCAAAATCAAATTTCATTTCCTTAAAGATTTTTTAAAATTATAATTACACATTTATTAACAAAAAAAACTTTTTGATTGATCAAAAACAAAATTAATCGAAACAGTATAGAATATATTATACATGAACAAAATATCGAATTTTAATTACACGAAACTGAGGAATATGTATGCCAGAAAAGTTAGCCCATCCTTTTAGAAAATTTAAGGGATCGAAATGGATCTCACAGAAATTGGCCGAAACTGCCTTGTTCTCCTGACTCTGGGCTACTCGAATAGGCAGAAAAAGACAGAAAGAAATAAAGCGGAGAGTTTCCTTTGAGGCTGGAGAACAATATGGAAATAAAGGTCGGTATCCGTGTAAAAGTTTTAGTGTCACTTCTACCTTCGAAGGTTTACTGCTCCCTAGGGAGGACCTTCTTTCTTTTGCTTCCCTACCTACCTTCTATTTTCTTCACCAACCGGTTGACTTCTCCTTTGCCACGCGAGAAACTGCGGGATAATCCCGTGGGCGACCACTTCGTCAACCACCCTCATCATCGTCGATTCCTTCTTACGCTTTTCGGCCCTTTCCTTATCCTTGTGATTGATATAATATTTTAGGCGCGTAAATTGTTAAACATTTTAAATATAATAGGGATGGAAATAGTGGGAATGAGATTTTTGTTTTTTAAATAATAATTAGGCTGCGGATAATGATGAATGTAAAATAAAATTTTTATGAATATGAAATAGAGTTTAAAACAGAGATTCGTCTTATTCTTCGAATATTATAATGCGTGCTATATTTTGAATATTTTTTTTTTCTTTTTATATATCATGTATATTCTGTAGATTTTTATAATAAGAAAAGGAAATTCTACATGAAATATGTTATGAAATATCATCTTTGAGAGAAATAAATTATAAAACTATATTCAAGTATTAATAAATATATTAGTGATATACAAGAATTATAATCACAATTTGTTTTATAATAATCATATATATAAATTTTGTTCTGCATGAATCCATTTCCAAATTTTGTTTTTGATATCTTTTTTTATTTTTGATTTGAACGAATGATTTTTCATTATTCATTTTTATTATATTTTAATATATTTAAAATATCAATAATTTATTTTCTTTTTTCAAAATTGCATAATTAAAATAATTTTCTTTTAAATATAGATATGTAAAAACTAGGTTAAATCTATTTTTCAAATATAATAAGATTTCTTTTATGAATCTAATATTAGAAAACTTGTAATTATAATAGAAGTTATTTTAGCAACATTTTGAAAATGTTAAGCAGGACAAATCAATGGGCCGAAAAGCGTAGTCAGAGTAGTCAAATCCAATCCAAAGTACTGTCGAACCTGTCAATGCAATGTTTCAAATTTGACATATCTATTGCTATTGAACATGTAAGCAAACATAAAATAGATTTCGGTAGGACTACTAATCTCTGCATTCAAATTATTAATTATTTATAGATATTATTTATAGATTTTAACTTCTTAAATAGACAATTGGAGCTTTTTAAATAATCTTTTTCTTAAATTTATACTTTTTCTCAATTTATTGGTGACAGTAATCAAATTTTTTTGTTTAATAAATAAATAATGATCAAAATTGGAGTGACATATTTTTTACAAATTATATGTATATTTTAATGTAAGATATCATGAGTTTTAATCTGGAAATCAATATTTCAAATAATTTAAATGTATGAATTATGCTATTAATGCTAAGTGTTTATAGCATAATGTTTAATAACTCTATTAGGTTAATATATATAAAATAAAGATAATATATAGATATTTATTCATTAGGTTATTTATTTTGTAAGAGCGGAATAAATTTACAAATCGTTTTTTAATAAATTGTTTTTTACTAATAGTACGTATAATATCATGCTGGAATTTTTCATATTATATTACAAAAAGAAATTAATATAATTTACATAATACTTATGTAATTTTTTAAATCTCTAATTTTATATCTTTAAACTATAAAAATATCTTATAATTTGATTAATCGCAAACACATCAATTACAAACCAGCTATATTTTCAATTTAATGCAATAAAATAAATAACAGATAATAGTCTCTTTAGCAATCAAAGTAGAAGAAAAGTAATTAGCTAATAAATAAAACAATAAAATGGAATGAATGAATTTTTTTGAAAAGTTTTTTCATCTTAAAATTGTAGACTTCAAGATACTATTTAATATTTTTAAAAAACAATGTATTATTATAATTATTATATACATCTTTCATATAAATTATAATATATAAACAGATTAAACAATAATTTATTCACAAAGATCTCTCTTTCATTTGAGAAAGAAAGATCTCTCATCATTGAAAGAAAGAATTAACAAATTAACATTACTAATTACATTACTAATTTTTATTCTATTTAAACATTTTCTCAATTAAACGGACAAACACGCAATATAATTGGCCGACTAAATTTCGTCCGAAAATGCTCTACCAAGAATCAACAATACCAAATTAATGCCACGTTTCTAATCAAATAATCGAATGGAGGATTCATTCATTCGCTCTCGTTATTGTCCTGTTTCAGATACTGAGGGATATCCGGCAGGGTTTAATGCAGCTTGGTCGGGACGGACGGGGTCAGCTCCCTGGAGGTGAGTACGTCAAGGAGTGTAACCTCTAGTTGTCGCCTCTCCGCGACTTACAGCTTGGCGTGCTCGATCCAACCGGGCTACGTCCTCATTCGTGTGTATGTGTATTCTATGGAGCGTGTCTGCCTTGAGCAGAAACGAGCCACGTGCCAGCCAGAGCCTTGAGAATCGACTCCCAAACGCCTGACACTTCGTACATCTCCGCGCGCCCTCTAGGGACTCATTTAGCGCTTTCGTTCTCCGATGATTCTTCCCGTGATATTTTTTAAAAAAATCTCAGCGCGATGAAACGGAACGCTCTTGTAGACGAAAATTTCTCGGGCGAAAGAAATCCGGGGATGCGATGAAACTGAATAGTCTCTCAGACAAAAATTTTTCTCGAATAAAAGAAATTTTCGAAGGAAATGGATTTGATATTATGGTTTGTTATATGATACAGAATATTCTAAAAATATGAAATTTTTATATATCGAAGGATGAAAAATTTGAAGGATTTGGAAATTTTTTATTTTTGAGATATAAGCATTTTTTATTTATGATAAAATATTACAGAAATATTTTTCAAGAAAAAAAAATAGAAATGATTTAGTTGAAAATATTCAAAAATTTCTGATATATCGAATTTCTTATTTTGCATTATTAAGATATTATGTGATAATTCAATTTTTTTGTTTTTATTATTATTCATTCAATATTTAAATAAATTATCTTGCATTTCATAATTGCATTCGTAATTGCATTTCATAAACAAAAAAATGTAAGAACTATTAATTATTTAATTTGTAACAATAAAAAAAAGCTAATACAACATATTCTTCTTTCTTACTTTGGAAAATAAATAATCTAATAATGAGAAATTAATTTATTGACAACAAACATAAAATTGGATATAAAAATCATTATTTTTGTATGCATGTATAAATTTTTTACAAAATATAAAAATAATTGTTTTACTGAAATAAGAATTTTTATAATATATTCTTTTTTCTTTCTTCAATCAATGTTCGTTCTCTTTTTTCGTATCAACTCCTGATCTTTATTACCATTGTAAATACTTTATTATAAGTATTAAATACTTTAAATTTTTAATAAATACTTTATTATAAGGATTAAATACTTTATCATAGCATAACGTTTTCTATTGTATATTATAATGTCCTTTGTTCACGAAAAAATTCATTTTAGAAAATTTCTATATATTTATTCAATTATGAAACGTTTAAATACAAACTAATTTATTATGACATATATTGTGATGTAAGAATGATTCGTTTTATTGCAATATTTACTTTCTAACATAAAATTAATATTGTTCGTAATTTTATGCTATCATTCTTAATTAAAATTAATATTTCAATGTTAGGACATTTTACAATTCAAAACAATTAAAATTTATTATTTTCTTCAATGGTTATTAAATTGTTTTTAATCTGATGTAAATATGTAAAGTTTTGCAAAATTTCGAAATAAATAAAAAATTTTTCGATAAACTTTATGTAAGTTTAAGTAATAAACAATTCTGTTTCATATGAAATATTATAAATATGCGCAATATTTTTGATTTATAAAATATTTGAAAGAATGAAATTTTTTCATTTTTTTCTTCTGGCTAACATTGCAGTTATAAAGTATCTAAGTTTTAATAGTAAGATTTAATTGTTCTATTTTATTGTAAAAAAACATTTCCAAAATATTGATGAAATTACATCCAAGAGATTGAAAATTTAAATTTGAAAATTAATTTACACATATTTAAAAAATATTTTCAATTAAAAAAAGACTTTCTTCACTACTCATTACACTCTACATGTACACGAATTTTCAAATTAAATAAATTACCTTATCCTTATAAATACTTTCGTGACCATCTGTACATTTTGAAAATAAAAAATTTCCAATTCTATCTACGATTCATCTTCGAGCACAATAAAACGCCGGTCTACTAAAGTCCAGCCACTTATTTCTGAAACATCCTGTACAGAATGCCATAAAGAGGATCAAATAAAATATCAAGAGTAATGTTTCGGATATCCTTTAAATTCCGTATTACCGATTTATCACTGACTGGGGGAGTTTTATTTGCGATTGCATCGCCGACGAAGGCAATAGCACCGCCACGCTACGAAGCCCCTTCTATGTGCAGGCTAATCTCGTTATCGTCAACAACCGTCGACTGCTTTCTCCGCTGGTTCGCTTTTCCCGATCCCCTCGTTTTTTCTCGCGCCCACACGCACGTGCACGATCCTCAGACGCTTGATTTCGCCCAGCCTTTCTCACCAACGCCACTCGAGGTCTTCTCGCGTCTCGAATTACCACGCATTAGCGCCACACGCTACACTTTATAGGAAAGAAAGACCATGCGATTTCTCTTCGAGAGGAAGTTCCTAGTGAAAGAATAAGAAGCATTTAATCCGTATTTTATTGATTGAACTTTTTTCTTTACGTAAATGGAAGAATGAAATTGATGATGAGAGAAGAATTTGAAATATATGTTTGAAAATTGCATGTACAGAATGTTAATGTAGAATAGCTTTGGAAGATCGATTTTAAAAGCTAAAACAATTTGAGTAGTAGTTACTCTATTATTCTATTTAATAGGGAAACAAGAATATTCCTATTAATGGAATGCATCTCACAAATAATTTTTTATTTCAGTATTTTTATTTTTTAATATCAATGATCATAGATATCCCAATTCTAATTCTAATTTTAAATATTTTTAGTTTCACTTTAATAATTAACACGTTCTAAATATGTAGATGTCATGTTCAAAATAAATATATAAATAAATATTATTTCTATTGTTATGAAATTAATATTTAATGTTACATAAAATTTTATGACAGAATAAATAAGAAATAAAAAATTAAATTTATTGAAGTAAATTATTCATATTTTAAATATGAACAAGAATATTGAAGCATTCATAATAAACCCTTGTTAAATTTCAGTCATAATTTCATGATTTAATTAGATATAATACCTCTGTATAATATAATTACAGATAAAGTTTCAGTATCTATATAATATAATAGATTTACAATAGATATTTCGTTAAAGAAAATTGAAATTTATTTATTATAGAGAAATTAGAGATTTTTAAATATTTTTCTATTATTCTCAATAAAGTCAAAAATTATTACAAAACAATTATTACAATCATTAAAATACGAAATATTAATAAAAAGTTTGGAAATATTAGTAAAATGTTCTATTTAAATCATAATTACTTTACATTATTATAATGTAATTTAATATTTGAAAATACAAGATCTTAAAAGATAAAAAATTCTATTTTAATTGTTTATTTGCGATTGCAGAAAGAGAATATAAATTTTATTTTCAATATCCAGATGACACTTATATGTACGATGAAGATGCACGTTGTGGAGGAGGATTGGGCTTAGGTCCTGGAGGTCAACATTGGTATGACGAACCACCATATGAGTCAGATCCCGAAGATTTCCTTATGGGGGCAAGTGGCGGGCCAGTGCCAACTGCGACTATACAAAATGGAAGGTAAAATACAACAAATATATTTTTAACTCTCGAACGGCCGACCCTGGATCGTTTATGAGGACGTGACGTTCATTTATGAGAAAGTAAAGTTAGAATAGGATACTTGAGAAAAAGAAAAGAAGATTTAAAAGAAAACGACACAATGCCATGCGCTTGACATACCACATAAACGTAACAAAATACTTAATATGAAATAAATAATTATGAATATTATTTCTACTATTATGAAATTAATATTTAATGTTACATAAAATTTTATGACAGAATAAATAAGAAATAAAAAGTTAGATTTATTGGAGTAAATTATATTTTAAGTATGAACAAGAACATTGAAACGTTCATAATAAATCCTTGTATTATTATTAGTTTGATAATGAAACGAATTACAATTACATGTCCATGCTTATAAGATGTATATTTATAAACTCTTTTATTGAAAATCTTGATATAAATTTACATCAGCATTTTAAAGTTTTCCTAATAAATTCTATATTATTTCTCTCGTAATATTTTATTTAATTAAATATTAAACGTTTAATATCAAATATTATTTTTCGAAATCAAATAATATAAAATATTTTGTAGAATATTTGCTTCAAAAGAATATCTTCACATTTTAAATATAAAATATTACAGAAAGTGAAAGTTTTAAAACTTTCTTATTCTTAATTTTATTAAATTATATTTCAATAATAATTTTTTCTAACAATTTTTTATATATTTTCTTTTATTAAAAAATTATAAAAATAACTATAAAAAAATAATACATTTTATAATACAAAATCAATATTTTTGAACGAGATTATAAAGATTATTAGTCACTATTAACAAATTATATTTTCAATTTTTTTAGAACGATATATTTTTATCGATCTTATATTTACATCGATCAAAAAATTGAAAATATTATTTATCTCATTTCAGAGTATGTTTCACACTAAATTTGAAGCCCGAGAACAGAAGTGAGGGAATTATTTCGCTTCGAACTGCCGGAGACATCAGCCTCCCACGAGATCGCTCTAGGAAAGGAGCAACATCGACAATGCGAGGGCTTATTGTGCCACAAGGTCACAATAATCCACCGGCCATCATACCACTTACACATTCGAGAGCTTCTCGAGAAAGTGGAGACTACGCGAGTAGCGATGTCCAGGTAAGTTCACACAAAGTATTCCTTATCGAAAGATATCAGGTATATAGTCTTATCAAAACAATAAATGGTGTAAACCCAAAGATACAATATTGAACTATTTTATATACGATAATATAAATCATTATTTCAATGTTTAATTTCTTTCCAAACAGTGTTTGTTTCAGAATTTATAGATATTTTAACAATTATTTTATTACATTATTTTATTACAAATATTTTAACAATTATATAATTTTTATTTATATTTATTATTATATTGTATATATAATTTATATTTATTTTATAAATATTTTAAAATAATAGTATTGGAAATTTTTTATCGAATAGGAAAATTAAATACAGTCAAGCTCAAGATAATCTTTATTTTTTTTTATAAACAGAAAATATAAAATATAATTATCTGACGATATTAAACAACAGGTTTTCGTGTTGATCTTATTATTTCATATATGTATGAATATTCATATTTTAGTTTGAACTTTTGTATCGTTGCTTATTATGGATTTTGAATTCGCTTTATGCTTATTTATTGATGTTTATATGGTAAATAGAAATTTTATCATAAAATAGTAATAAATTTTCGTTTCAATTTTATGTCAAAGAAAATAATTTATTGTAATATACAATTGATTAATATTTTTATTATCTCATAAAGAGGTATCAGAATTATTAATAATTATTACAATTATATGTTATTTTATAAGTAATCTATTAAATTTTTGAAATAATAAAACTGTCGACTGTGTCGGTGGACACAAATAGGAATGATTTTTCAGCAAATGGTCTTCAACCGCATTTTCATATTATAAGCATTAAATTTTATTATTGATATCATTAAAACACTTAATTTTATTCATTAATGCAATTGCTATTTACTATATTACTAACATTGTAATTTATTATAATATAATATAATCATTAAATTTTTAGAAATATTATTATTAATATTATAATTGATATAATTTTGTTCAAACTCATTTGTTAATAATAATAAATTTAAACAACAAAATTTGATATATTTTATGCGAAAGTTATGAAAGTACGGTGAAAGCTCCGTATTCAGAGAAATATAATGAAAGAATATAAAGAAATATAAAATTCTCTGACAATATTCAAAATTGATATAATTAATTGAGAATATTATTTAGAGATAAAAAAAAAAAATTAAGGAGTATTCTTCAAGCAAAAATAAAATAATTGTATTAACAACTTTATTGTTTACTAACTATTAAAAATTCATAAAAAATGCAAGCAAATCTCTCTACATAAATAAATGTAGCATAACTTAATAGTTAATAATTGCAATATGCAGCATTAAAATATTTAACATTTACCTTTATTTCATATATTTATTATTTTTTTTATTATATAATTATATTAAATAAATTTAAGTTTCTATATATCTTATAGATCATTATGCAAAGTTATACAAATAAAACTTTCACATAAAAAAAATGTGAAAAAAGTAAGAATTTTATTCTCAAAACTTACTCAGAAAATAGAGAATACCATGCTGTTGAAGTCATTTTTTGTTTCATCTCAATATCTCAATCGATTGCTGAGATAGCAGAATTCAAAGTGTCCATAGCATTTAAAACAGTGTAAAGATTATAAATGGACCTACATTTTTCCTGGAAATGCATACATTCTTCCAGGAATCGCTTGTCTGAAGTTTGAAATAGGTTAGTGCGACGAGACACGAGTGAGAGATTCGAATGAATGACAAGGATAGAAAGAGTAAATGGTTAAAAATTATCCTTTTCTTTACACGACGATATCTCAAAAACAGGAAATCGCATCAAGATAAATAAAAAAACATTTTAAAGAGTAAAATTCTATTCTTCTAATGATCATTAATTCGTTAAATAAAAATTAATATCTTTGGAATTATAGCGGTTTAAATTTTTTCTAATTTTAAAGTTTGATCAAGTTTGAAGATAAATTTCATGATTAATACGTTTACTTCTGAAGAAATAATGATATATTGAAAACTTTAAGTTGATTTAAAATCTTAAAATATTAAATTGAAATAAATTAATTAATAAGTAAATTGTTTAATAGATTTAATTTGAGTTTAATTGTTATTGAAAAAATTTTATTTTTCCATAAAAAGAAAAAAGATCTTCAAATCTTTTTTTTCCCTAATTTCTTTATTTATGATTTTGATCTTATTTTAACTTGAAAAATCATTTCTTAAATTTTGAAATATTCTCTAATCATGTATATTAGAAATATATAATAAAATTTAACTTTTTGATTATACATATTTAATCGTTAACAAAAAAATTAATAAATCATAAACTATAATAATTTATTAATTTTAAAGTAATCCTAAATATCTAATAGAGATATTTAAAAAATTTATATTAATTCGTAATTCTTAAATTCAAATTATGGCCAATTATGAATACGAGTGTAATATAATTTTACGTGTGTCTTTCGCGTCTTTCATATCAAGATATCATTATATTAATGTTTTCATCACCAGATTTCTTTTCAATTAGAAATGCATAGCAAATTGGTTTGACACTCATGAATATGGATATTTATCGTATCGATTAGTTGTGCACTATCAAAGGTTCCGTTCTCTAGTATAGTTTTACCATTCTAACAGATATTAACAGACCTTTCTTCAATTCACGTAGAGATAGATAAGTGCCAACACAGCTACGTATATAGCTCTATGCGAACTAAACGATGTGTCTCTTTCTCCCAATATGCTTTTCGTTGAGCTTAACGAACCGAACATAACGAATCGAGCGTTGTGGAAATCGAATATCTCGATGCATGAAATACGACTGTTTAATTCAGAAATGGATCACATGAAAAGAAATTTTGTTTTTAATAAATTAACAATATTTCCATGTTATATTTATATCTAAGCAATTCAAATTCTAACTTAAAACATTATTTTTCGAATAAATTTACGATGAATGTTTTAAGATATTATAGTATAGATGATGAAGTAGTAGAAATAGGTAGACTATTTTTTATTTTTTTAATATAGCTTAGTCATATGATATAAAATAATTCAAATGACATGTAATAAATATGTAATAAATCTTAACTTAATATTTCAGAAAATTTAATTTTTACTTTATATTCTGAATAATTTTGATGACATTAAAATTATCATTATAAACAAATAATTTATCGATATACTTAATCTATTTAATACTATTAATCAATGTTTTTAAATATTATTCAATTAATAATATTTATAATATAATATTAATCAATTTAAATATTAATGAATTTTTATAATTTTAATCATAGAAGTGAGATATATCTATTATTCCCTATTCTGACACCTAGACAGAACTGACGGCCTAATTCTCTATTTCTTTCGTACATATATTCATACTTCAACATACTAAATGTATCATTACTCATGTAGATATACATAGCCTGCTATTTATATGTATACTCTGTTATATGCAATTTATTTTTACGGTCGACACGATTTTATTACGATTATATTCTTTTATAAGCGATTTAAATAAATTGTATAAATACAATGATTGATATAATATTTAAAAATAAGTGAAAAGGAAGTCATTTATTAGAGAGAAAATGATTTCTCGTTTAAAGATAAATATTTTAATATAATTTCGATATCAAATTTACTTTTTTTTTTTTCCTACTGTTTTTAAATTCTTCCTATAAATGAAACAAAGTAGAATTTAAGCGTGTTCCAATAAAGAAAAGTTTTTTCATACGACGATGAGTTGACCATCCGTGCTTCATGAACTCGACGGTGAATGGCTGAGAATGCAACTTTCCAGAAATTTAATTCAAAGTTTTGGAACGTCTAGTGCGCTGCTCTCAGTTTCTGCTACGTATTAGGGTGTCTTATCGCAAGTTGTACGCTCTACGTTATTAACAATATATCAGGAGTTTGTACATAAAGGCATACTTTCAATCTACAAGAGAATGCTTTACTTAACATTTTCTTTAGGGCATGTCTCGATGGAAATTTGATCAATTTTATTATTTTCTTCCTATTATTATCTTTAACGTGACTGGATTTTGTGCGCTTCTACACATACACATATATATCGTTACCTATTTACTTATTTTCACACACGAAAAATCATTTAAAATAAATAAAAGTTAAATGTTTTAAAAATATATACATGCCAGTAGATACAATTTTATATAATATTTTGATAGAATAAGATACGTAACATGTAAAAGGTTATTGTATAATTGAAGGATTTACAACAAAGTAATTTATTTATAATTCTTTGCAATACATTTATAAACATTTATAATTATGATTTATAATATTATCTAAAAAAGTTATTCTGTTTTATTATTAATACCTTTTAATATTTAAATCATTAACAATTTTATTTGTGAAAATAAAATTGAATTTAAAAGAAATTGAAAATTTTTCCTACTTGTTGCAAATCCTTTATCAAATACAAAGCAGAATACACCGAATAAATCAAACAAATAACACAAACAAATATAAATGTGATTATCCAATTTCATCTTCTAAGAAGCTCATGGCATGCACATCTTTTGGGCTGACCCTCGTATATGCACGTATAGTAACTATTTTTTATATTCACGATACACATACTGTAACTCGTTTCGTTGTACTCTTGATCTACATCATACATGGTATTTTTTTTTTTTTTTATTTTCACGTTTGATTTTAAACTAGCATTTCTCTCCATAACGACCGATTTCCTCTAACAGCATTTTACATAAGTGCTAATAGACCAAACTAGAGCCCGCTTCTCCTTTACATATCCGTGAATTAGAACTGTCTCTGCGAGTATCAAACTGCGTTTTAGAGCCGGAGTAGCGGCGAGGAAGGACTATCGCCAAGCCAAAGCAGCGACTACGAGGATCAAGAAGAACTTGAGAATCAGCATCCGGCCGCCGTACACACAGTACGTGACATATACAACTCCTCCTTTCACAAATGTCTCCTTTTTCTCTACTTTCTGTCCTTTATTGTCGTCGTTATCGTCGTCGTCGTTGTTGTTATTGTTGTTGTTGGCATACTGTGTTGCATGATCATGTGGCTATTTATTTAGAACAAACCTTCCTTCAAATGTGCAGTAGTGAAAACTACTAACAAGCGATATATTTGCTGCAGTTGTGTGCGGGATTGATTTTAAACTTCGAGTCGAGTCGGAAAAATTCGGGCGGGATCGGATACGATCTCGATATCGTTTCCCATATTATTCGGGATTCGAGTCGACTTCGGATGGACTCGGCAATAATCGAACGTATTCGGATAATAGCTTTAATAAGCTGATTGGAAGTACGTTTTTGACGCTTAAACCGATCGCATCCGATTATTGTCGAGCTAATCCGAAGTCAAACTAGAATCTGAATCTATGCAATCGAATCTTTCAGAACTCCAAACAATAGGAGATTATAATTCATAACTTACTTACTACTCCAGTTACTTCTGGATTAAAATTTTTCGAAGAAAAAATAGATTTTTAATAGTTCGAAAACTGTTTGGAATTTTGAAAACGTAAATTAAAAAATCGTAAATTCTTAACTTAATAACTTCAATATTTTCATATTCTCGCACAATTCTGCCACTTATATTCTAGATTAATAAAAAATAATGTCGGTTTCATCGAAGTTAAATAAGCAAGAGACAAATTGTTATCTAAATCTATAATCCAAAATTAATGTAATAAAAAATTATTTTGAATCTTTTTTTGTATGCGATAATAATTGTTTCTCATCTATGTGAAGAAAAACAAAGGAATAATACAATCGACATTATCTTTTTTATTCTTTCAATACGGTATAGTTGTGGTTTTCATTTTAAAAATTCATTATAACGAAATATTTAGAATATTTTCTTTCCTTAATTTCTTCAAATTTCTTGTACCTTGTCTATCTTATGGGGTAAGTAAATTTATTCGTACCGCTCTCGCTCATTTCATTCATTTCACTCATCTGGTTGGTCGTTTCGTAGCAAAGCTTTCAATGCCAATTGTTTGATTTCTGGTCTGGTTTTTGTATGGTTTTTAAAAAATACACGATTAACTCGCTATAAAAACGTCGCTCTTTTAAATCTTAAGCCAGATCGGTGAAATTGCCATTAGTCGAAAAATTGCGCAGTGTCAAAACGCATGCGAGCTTTTTCTTCGTTCAAATTATATTCGTGCTACATTATTACCATTAATTAGATTTGATAGAATTTCATTAAAGACGTATACATCAAACACGAAAGTAGACGCTTTTTTTTGAACATAATCACGAAATATACAGCCATACACATGCGTCTACTCCACCGACAAGTCGACAACGACGTCACGCAGGCCCAAAGCCGAGGTTCGATAGCCTTTGCGAATCTTCCATGGTCGTGCCTTACGCATAATCGTTGCATGTTCTCAAAAACCACAGAAGAATCGTCACAATCACGAGAAAGGATCCAAATTTCAGTCTCCCTTGTAAAAAGACTTCATTGACAGACTTGTGCAACTCGATCGAGGAGTTGTGCGAAACGAAGAGCTCGAAATTTACAATTCGAAATTTCGTCACGATCTTTCGATCTTTTTTCTAATAATGCATACAATAATAAATATAAAAAAAAAGTAAGGCTGTGTTATAATTTTCAAAATATAAATACGTAAAATCTCATTTTTAACCTTTAATAAAATTCTCATAAAATCATACAACATATGGTATTAATCTTAAGATTATTTTTTCGTTATTTTATCATTCCGATATTTTATCATTGCCAGTAAACACAGTATTGAATTAAAAATGGGCCTTCCATGCACACCTCTTCGATTCTAATTTAACGTATTACGTATTGTGAAGTTCCTCTTTTCATTTCCATCGATACAAGCAAAGATTCCAAGTGAAACTTTCCCAAAAACTTTTCGACGTTTATGAAATTCTCGATTCGAAATTTCCAGTCAGAAGCTAGCGCTCTGCTCGAGGGGGACGCCAGGGCGGGGATCGCAGGACGTGCGAGAAATTTGAGGCACGACGTGCAGCGGAAAATTTCAAGGCTGCGCCAGGATCGCGCCTCATCAGAGGCCTTCCCGTGCAGCGCGAGCAGTGTCGAGAGCCTTCCAAGCGGAAGTGGTTCGAGCACGCAGGCACTTGTGCGTGCAGGAAGCAATCACAGTTCGATATCCTGCGAAGACAGGGACGCCATCAGCCCAACGTCTATTGGACCTGTGCTTTGCAGAGCCAGGGCACTGGTCGATTACACGCCCAGCCCTTATGACAAGGAAGCGTTAAAGTTTAAGGTTTGTTCTCGAATCGTTGTTTAAGAGTGTAATTACCCTTCGCGCAAAGTATCATATGGAGGAAGCATCGATACTTGGATGACTAATCGTTTTGTAAAGATTATACGTTAGATTTAATTGGAACTAAGACGGAATATAAAGAATTAATATAAAATATTTAAAAAATGTAATTTATTATATATCTTAGATAAGTAGGCCTGTTTTCAAACCTGTTTTTATAGACGCTTCAATAAGAACATTTGCGTAAATATTATACATCTAGCTCTTGGAACAAGGAAACATTAAAATATAAGATTCTTTTTCAAATTATTATTATAAGTATATAATATACCAATTTTTTTCCTTTGTACAAAATATTATATGTCTTATTGTCCTTATTGTTATTACGAATTACTTTCTTCGTAAAATATTACAGTACTTATTATTATCAAGTATTTATATCCATTAATAATAAAAATGTTTCTCCAATCCTTGCGAAACCTACGTTAACATTGCCCTCTCGAAAGAATTAAACTTTGATATTTATTCCGAAATAAAATTCAATGTTACTTCTTTCTCAAAATTCTCTCTCTCTCTCTCTCTCTCTCTCTTTCTCCCCCCCCCCTCTCTCTACACGACTTCGCGATAATAATGAATCGCGAGCATCGGATTCGATTCCGCGTGCACTTGGCTCAAATTAGAAATTATAAGAGGTTCTCGAGGTTTTTCCACGTGGAAAGTACGAAGCGAATTGCAACTGTGGCTTTTGTTGCAGAAGGGAGACATCATCGACGTGGTACAAATGAACAAGAGCGGGTTGTGGAAGGGTGTTTTGCACAACAGGATAGGCCACTTCAAGTTCATAAACGTCGAGATACTAAACGACAGGGTTCCAAGGCGCGGCGAGCCCGAAGGGCGGGGGAAGTGGGGCCAGAGGTATAGGCAGAAGCCCGGTTCCGTTCAAGAGCTCTTGCAGAGAATGAATCTTCAGGTAGAGAGCAATATCTTGCCACGGCTCGAACAAACTGATTCGCATTTGCATCGCTTCGAATGCAAAGCAGGGAAACCTGCTTTTATACGTTTCTTTATTCGCCTGGACCTCTCTCTTTTCATCCATATCCCACCATCCCGGTTACCCTCCCTCGCGTGCACCTTTTATATCGCTTACAATACACAGTTCCACGAAAACTTGGCGTGTTCCTTTTTTCGTCGACACTTTTTTTTTCTTTTTTTTTCTTTTTTTCTATATCCATCTTCCTCCTTTTCTTATCTCGTCCTATCGATTTTCCCGCTTCCCGCTTTTACCTCGTTCTTATCCTGTTCTCGAATGTTACCGGTGATGAATGTTCAACTTCCTGCTCTCGTTAACGTTAGAAATTTAGAACCTGGACATATGTAAGAAGATATTTGTGCTGTATTAAATTCATTCGATTAAATAATTAATGGAATCGAATGGATCGCGTCATTAAATGATAATAAATAATAATGTAATCAATGTAAATCTATCTTTATTTATTAATATTAATTTGTTTTTTTTTTATTATTGTTCTGGCTATACAATTATTCAATCATACTTTGGATTATTGATCGATAAAGACAGAATTATAGTTGATTTACAAGTTATACATACATAAGATCACTTATTAATCATTTCTTTTGACATTCTATATAAACTAAATTTTTATATTTCTACGTTTCATCGAGATATCATATTCCTTTTATATCTGAAGCAAAACTTAAGTACAATTAATGTATTGAAATTGATCAATATAATCAATTATTTGATTTCTGAAGAGTCACTAACAACACACTACTTTAATCATATTTAACACATTAATTTAATCATATTTTGACATTAAAATTTTCAAAAGGAATTTTCAAAAAAGTGAAGCTGATTCTAAATGTGATTTATAATACTCTAGATAGTTTTTAATTGTTATAATTTTTTTTAACTTTTACTTTAATTTTCTTTTAATACTTTGTAATAACTGTTTGTAATGAAGAATGTTCTCTATTATTAATTCGTATTTATTTGATTTTATTATGAATTGCTTTCACGAAACGAAAATAGAAATAATGAAACTTTGTATTTTTGCAGGAACACATTCCTGTTTTTGTATTTAACGGATACGAGGATCTGGAACTCTTCAGGGAAATTGAAGCCGCGGATCTTGATTACTTGCGTATACATCAACCAGAACATCGTGCTAAGATACTTACAGCTGTGCAACTATTAAATGATCTTCAATGTGAGTTTCTAGAATTTACATTTCCTTTCCCAATAGTAATTAAGTTCGTATCTTAGTTTACCATTTCTCTTTTTTAGTATTAATTTAATTTTAATTTAATTGCTTAATAACAAAATGAATAGTAATTATAAAAATATTTACGATTATTTAAGTTTCTTGAATCTAATAATCTTTCAAGATTACTTAAAATTTCGATATAAAATATATTATTTAAAATATATTAATATATATTAGATAGATTGATCGAGCAGATAATAAAATTACAATTGATTTATATAGTTTTATCAAAACTGATAAAATAATAAGATAATCTCAAAATTATTATATTAAAGATGTGTAACTAACTTACTAAATTAATAAATATAAACTAAAAGATCATAAAAGCAAAATATATTGTTGTTTCGCGTGTTTGCATAGAATTATTTATACGTTATATAAAAAATTATTCCATTTTTTTTTCAAATTTTATAATATCCCTCGATTTAGAAAAGAACCAAGTTTTACAGAGAAATTAATAAAATACTTAATAAATTAATGACTACAAAGAATAACAAAAATTCGCGAGAAACTCATATTCAAAATTAATATCTAATGATTAACGTATTAACAATAATATATACCTCACCTCTTAAAAATATCCTAATTTTCAAACAATTAAAATCCAAATCGAAAAAACACAAAATAGAAAATATTTATTACGTAAGTATTCCCATTAATACCAAAATTTCAGTAGCAAATAGAATACTACACAAGTTCTTGTTCTGTTCTAATAGCCGGAAGCGAGGGTGATTTAGCTTCAAGCTCGGAGGGTGACGAGGTAAGTCGACTGGTCTTAACCTCTGGCCAGACATCCGGCCATTGTTCACCGTTTAATCGTCGCCAGTTCCCGCGGGACTCTGGCTGTTACGACGCTCACAAGAATCCCACTAGTCGGCGAACTGTAAGCCCGGAATCGACAACGACTACCAAGCTGCCCAGAGAGAACAATCTTGATTCCGCGGCGCCTACGAAGAGCGTAAGCGGCGTCAGCACAGAAGGGAGCACGGTGACCGACAGCAAGGACGACTTCCATCCCAACATACCCATCACGACCAACGTGGCCGGGCAGAAGGAGGGCCAGTTCGATAAATCGCCGTTACTTCGTAGCGGAAACGTTCGGTTTATCGCGAAAAGAGGGAATTTCGGCGAAACGGTGGTGATCGAGGACGCGTGCGAGGGTGGGCAAAAACTGGGAGGCATGGTGAAGTACGTGGTCGGGAGCGGTGACCTTGGCCTCGAGAATAGCGGAAATATGACAGGTCTTGGACAAAGGGGTTGCCTGAGCGAGAAATCGAGCGACTCGGGCGTCAGCTCATCGAGCATCAGCTCTGCACCGCCACCTAGGGACAAAGTTCTTGCCAACGTTGCCTCTGACTCACCCACCAAGAACTTTGGCAATTTCACCAGAGCGTCCCCCACCTCTCAACCGGCCACCAATAAGAGCCAGAGTGGGGAGGCCAGTTACCAATAAAGGAGCGATACTGATAGAGGAGGACAGAAGACCGATCCCGATTCATCTTGCCTTTACATTGTATTTTCATAAGTTTCATTGTAAATTATTGTACACTTACTACGCGATAGTGTAAACGCGGATTTTTAAAAGATTGTTAACAAGATCGTGCAATTTCGATGGAGTTCTTCTGCTGTATCCGTAAGTATTCACACATTTATCCGAGGAGGAATTTTTAACCTTTTCGATGGCTTGATTCGATCAAGGAAGATATGCATGTAGTATATGAATGTATATTGAGAAAATAGAATGAGAAATTTTCATACCAGTGAACGATGATCGATATTTCGAAAGGATACGTACATAAACGCGATAGAGAAGATTGCTACATGTTTCACGCTCGTTTGTATAACTATTTTGTAATATATTTTCATTGTCTATTTTGAGAACTAACAAGCAAAACGTACTATCTATAATGAATCTTCGGAGAAGGGTCAACTTGTTGAAACTTATTGAGACGACTTATTGAATATGACTGAAATGATTTATAAAATGTTATGCAGTGATATATCTAGTATTCCTGTAATTCAGTTTATCGAACGAACTTAGAACCGGAACGTAGAGAACGGCTGTAAACCGAGAAACGAGCTTAAATAGAAAATGCACGTACGGATATGGAATCCTTTCGTATGATTCACACGTTCAAAAACCAATCAATGAATAGCGGTTATTCGGTGTTTAATATTTTATTTCTCTGTTAAAGATAACATATTTCTTCTCTTGTTTTTTTTTTTTTTTTTTAACCCATCCTGGAATCGAAAGGAATAACGCTTCGCTAACTTTTATTGCCTCATCGATTCTTTGTCTTCGTTATTTCATAATCAAAACTTCGCGGCTGCTCGTTATTTTTTTTTAATGAGAATTCCTTTATCTCGATATTGGATCAAAGCTTTCCACGTGATTATTTTTCACTCCGAGCTTTTTATGATTCTCGGTAAATGAGATGATGAGAAGGAAAAGGGAGACGAGTCAGATATAAAAATTTATACGGTCTCGACGAGAGGAACGAATAATAACGTTTGTATCGTGCTCGAACGGAATAAAATTTTTGGCAGTATGATGAAATATCGAGAGGAGCCGTGTCACTGCCAATCATTTCATGATCTCGTCTATCGTTTTCGACGCTCGTAATAATTACTAATGATAATATTGTGATAAGATTGCATTTACGTCTAAATAATTTTTGTAAATAGATTAAAGATTCGCAATAGAGGATTCGTCTTTGCAATTTGTATACAATAAGCTACAGAGAACAGAGACTAATGAGATGTTTAACGAGAAATAACGAGAAGAGACACGTTGATCTGTCAATTCAACAGTTGGATCAGCTGTTTCAGCTGCCTATATGAGAAATGAAAACTTTTTTTAGATTAAAGACTGCCAACAGATTAAAACTTTTTGAACACGTAAAATGTTCGTTTGCTATTATTTTTGAGACTAGTTTACTTTAATGAAAAGTATACATTTGACGATATAAACAGTTGACACAGAAATATGAAAAATAAGGATTATTATATAATGAGAAAGAGAGAGAAAGAGAGAAAGAAAGAAATTTGTCATTGAATCTTATATTTTAAAAAATTTATTTATTCGAAAATTGAAGAATATATGAAATTGAAAAATAATCAAGTTGGATAAAATAATAAAATAAAATGGTAATGTAATATACAATTTAAGTAATATTTTTCCTCTTTCAAAACAAAGCTACATTATTAACTTTTTTGCATGAAATAGTGACTTTTTCAAATTTCGAGATAGAAAAATGATAGTTAATCAATAATTACCAAAATAACTTTTTATAAAATTATTTTATCCAATCTTATTGCAACTAATTGATTTTCCTAATGTTTTGAATTATATTTGAATTATATTTGTATGTATTTGAATTATTAATTTTTCATATGAAAAAAACTACATTTACTAGTACATGATCGACAATCCCCATCATCGATGCAACTTAAAAGTTAAAAAGTTCTTCGACAAGATGGTAAACTGTACATGTGTATATTGACTATATACCACAAAACAAAACGTTCAAAGTTACAAAATTTTTGTATGTATATATACAGCACACATAGAAACTACTGATGTTTTATATTGAATCCAACCTTTGCCAAAATTTTAGACTATGACAAATCTATACATAAAAATATACATATGTTATATATCACACCGTTGGCTCTTATGTACATTTTTTGTATAGTGTAAAATGATCGACGAATTTAAAAAAAGAAAAAAAAAGGCGACAGAAGAACGAGATCAGGAATGAAACTCGAGGATGGAAAATTCGTGAAAGAGGAAGAAAAAAAAAGGAAAAATATAGAAAGGACACGATTATCAAAAATAACGATCTAAGAACTTCTATTGCATATGTAAATAGAATATATTGAAAATATATATTCGTTTCGATAGAGCGATTCGACGACTATCCAAAATGGCGGAGACTGATGAAGCAAACGTTAGAGAATCTTATAGACTTTAATAAAAATGCATGTTTACCTTCTTCATTATTATCGATTTACAAAAGTAGCTTTAGGAGATTTAATCCCCTTTTTGTAACAAGTCTTGTTACGCTTTTTTCGTACGACCATTGACGAATAGAGCATCGATTCTATATTAAAGAAAAAAAAAAAAACTTTATAGAGATATATAAAAAACTCTGAATACCCGTGATTCAATTTTGGGCAAAGAGGCCTAAAAAAAAGAAAAAAAGAAAAAAAAATATATTAAAATAAATTGATACATACACACATACATACACACACGCATACACTTACATACACGCTTCCAAAATAGCGATTGTTTTATAATACGTACTTTATCGATATACCGCATTAAGTGATGTTGTATTGCAAGGTTCGATCATATCTGAACGATGAAAACGATGTTTGCTTGTATTTGATTCAACTGCTGACATCAAGTATCGTCTGTAATGTCCAACGAAGGCACACACTGTAACAGGAAATTTTAATGGTTTTTTTCGCAATAAAAAAAAAAATAATAAAAAATAAAGAGAATAATCCAAAGCCAAAATCTTCGTTACTTCATGTGCACACAAATTACGATAAATGATATAGTTGGTCCGTTCCGTCGAGAATAATATTGTAGAGAGCGAATCAAAAAAAGAAAAAAAAGAAAAAACGAAAAAAATGTAAAAACAAAACAGTAAATGCAGGATGAATAGAAAAAAGAGAAAGAGAGAAAGAAAAAAGAAATGCGCGCAAAAGTGAGAGTGTGAAAGAGAAAAAGAGAGAGAGAGAGAAATGGAATGCGTGGAAAAAATGTTAAAAATTAGTAACGTTTTGAGAGTATGATTAGATGCAAAAAAAAAAAAAAATAATAATAATTTTATTAGTTCGAAAAGTATGCAATGTTTGATGTAAAAAAAAAAAAAATCAGATTCGTTATAAAAATAGATGCAGTGAATTATAATCGAAAATAAGTAATTTGAAAAATAGTTACATGAAGGTAAAGATGTCTTAGTAAAAGAAAAAAAAAAAACGTTAAGTGTGTTTGTGTGCGATTCGAATTTCGTACTAAACTGAACGAATGGACGATCCATCTTCGTCCCGTAAGGATCGATTATTTAATGGTGGACACCATGAGGCCGAAGATCTCTGAAAAATCACGGTGTCTAGTGATTGTCGCTAAATCGCTAGTAAAGAATGAAAGAAAGAAAGAAAGAAAAAAAAAAATTATTAAGCATCTACTTAGCGGTCTAGTCCATTTTTTCTTGCAAAGTTTACAATTTGATGCGATATATGTATAATGTACATAAAGTAAAGGGATAAAACACACACACACAGGATTAGGGAATGGCAATCGCCACAGCGTGAATTGCTAAACATTTTTATAAGCTGATTTTTGTATTTATTGATTAATTGCGGGTTTTATAGAGATTAATAAATTCATAATTCTTATCGTCTCTCAGTTCTTGTATGGTTTCCAACAAGTGTTAATTTATTGACTGTGAATAGAAATAAATGACGAAAGATTCAAACAAATGTTGTTATTTCTTGTCCACCTTCTTATAAATTATTTTTTTTAAAGCTTTTTTGATGATTAAAAAAAAAGGTAAAAATTTGTAATTTTAGCATGGATAATACTTGTTAAATAAAAGAAAAAATCCTATAGATAAAAAAGTAGATAAATAAAATGGATCAAAAAATTAATATTTCCAAATTTATAAATAATTATCTATTTTTATTAAAGCGAGTAATTCTGATTTAAAAAACAAAAAATTATAAATAACGAAAATTTAGTATTTTCAAAATTACAAATTTAATTAAATTAAATTAAATGACTTATTAAAGATGTAACATATTAAAATATGATCCAAATTTAATATTCTTAAAAATTATACATATAATTATATTTATAAATATATTATATGATTTTGTATATATATCTTATCCTTTAACAAGAGAATTTATTTTTATAAAAATATTAAAAATTTTATTTAAATTACTAATTATTTTTAATATTTTTATTAATCATACATATAAAAAATTAAAAATAATCAAATATCATCAAATTTTTTCTTTGTTAGTTTGTTATAAATTGATCAAAAAAATTTTATTCAATTTTATATATTTATATATCTTTGTCTTTTGAATTATGCTGCATATTTCTTCATACAATCTAGATAAAAAATTTAAAGCATTGGAATAGACATTTCACATATATCATCCTAATACTATTTTATGGGACAAGTCTGGATCATCCCTGATTCGGCACCTTACTCCAGTATTGAATCGAACAATTGTAAACACGATATGCAAAATCTTTAACAAAAAAATATCTAACGAAGTTTATATTATTGTTTATTTTTATTTTTTTTCTTATTAACTAATAGGTAAAAACCATAATCTTTTTTTAACAATTAGTAAATAATTGTTTAAAATATATTTATATTATTTTAAAATTTTTAAAAATAAACAAAATAGGAATTTTTTTTATAGGTAAATTGAACGAAAACTTCAAATTTTGTTATTAATATAATTATAATTTTAAATTTTTTTTTCAAAATAAATATCTTATAAAAGGATAAAATTATTGCTATTTATTATATCTTTTTTATCTTTCAAGAATATTAATAATTGATTGATTCTCAATTCATATCGAAACACGATTAATTGAAACATAAAAAAATGAAAAATTTATAAACTATAATGTAAGATCTAAAATGCATTTTTTTTTCAAAAACGACTATCTTACAAATGATAGTAAATAAAAAAACTTCTGATTAGAAAAAATTAGATTTACAAATAAATAAATGGAAAAGAGTGATATAATATATGTATCTACAATTTAAATATTAAATTAAAAAAAAAAAGAAAAATTTACTCAAGAATACGAGAGAATGCTAAGTTGTCAAGTGTTAAACCGGAAACGAAGGAGGAACGAAAAGTTTCGCAAACGGAAACGTGGAAAGTTAATCAGAGAGAATTTAGCCACTGCACTGTTTCCATTTCATTATTTGCTCGGTTGTGAAAAAACATTTCTCAGATTATTACGCGCGAGCTTTTAGAGATGAAAAATGCAGGGAAATACGCTGTCAAAGTGCAACGCTGGCCTTTTGAATGGGGGCCTCGTTCACCGAAAAGTGTGTCATAAAGGGGATACTCGTCAGTCGAATGAACTTTCAAAGAAAGTGTGATAAAAAGCGTTTAGTAATGTATGTAAATGCACCCTCCGAGAATCATTTCGAACGTAACGGCGTGTACGTGCCTATTCGTAACCTTTATTTCGGTACCCCTAAGAGAGCCTCGAGCTTTACTTTTACGTGCGAGTAGATTATGGCGGGTAATAACTCGGCCGGAGTTTTCTTTCCCGGCTAACAGGGGGCGCTCGCCACCTAAGTAAATTCGTTGCCCGTTGGGGTTGAAATCTAATTTAACTTTTAGAGTCACCCGGAGAAATTACAATGATTTCCACCGATACGGGGATTGCCGCGCGTGTAAGTTTCCTAACTTCGCTCTATTCCCTAATTTTTTGCTCGGCGTGATGAAACGAACCGAAAATTTGTTAGCTCTCCAGTCAATTTTTCTGAAAGAAATGTAGAAAGAAATTTAATTTTACAAGGTATCGTTCTCGAGTTTGAAATCACTTTTCTAATTCTAGTTCTATTTTCTTATTGATTCGAGTTGATAAATATTGACACGAATTTTCTATTAATTTTTCTATCAATTGATAATTCTTGGTTAATGGTTTCTAATTTTGTTTATACGTAAAAACTAGCAAAGAAAAGAGAGGAAATTATATTTGTGAAATTCGGGTCTATCTATCGTTTGATAGATAGACATAATACAGTTTAATTAAAAATTTTGATTTTTTTTCCTTTTTAGTTCTTTATTTTCTTTTAATATAAAAAAAACAAATTTTTATTTCTGCGTTTCGTTCTATATATGCAATTAGATATCTAAAAATATCAGGAAAAAGATATCTTGAACAAGGCAAACTCACTTATTGTTAGATAGAAAAATTTAATGGCGTTGCGTGGCGAGAAGAACGATTCATCTTCTCCTTTTCTCCTCGCCGAAACAATTTTCA